CCCCAGGGGATCTTTGTGGCCGGGCGTCAAACAACAAGGACACATTAGTCAAAACTACAAAACACATCCCCTACTGTCTAGCCTGTGGGTCTGCAGAAGTAGGAATGCCCCTCTCTAGTGCCAAAGTGAGGATCACTATAGCCCAGAGGAATGACATTAATTCCTGCCTCTCCTCTGGATGAGAATCCCATAGGGAGAGAGGAGACTTCTTCAGCTTGATTACCAGGTCCCAAAGGCTGTAATAGCTCCTATATTTTCCATTTCTATGGAAGAGCCTCAGGTGAGTCTAGATGCAGCAGTAACTAAAATTACTGTATTAATTAATATGGGGGACACGTATCTGCCTTGATTGACTTTCTTGAACCCACCTCTTGATCCTTGATCCTCCTCACTGGAATTTATGGGCAACCCTAGTGTTATAGGTTGGAGCTTGCAAAAAAATCACCAGCACCACTTTAAGAAAAGTAGCAAGGTAAATTTTATTTTTCAACCAGCTGGGCTGTCTGTCTTGGGAGTAGAAGCAGCCCTGATCATTGTCAGGTCAGAGTTTTTATAGGATTACAGAAATATTATTCAAATAGGATACTTGTGAACCAATCAGGTTTGTACAACATAGCAGAACTTTAACTCTATTAATCAACAACCAATCATTATACAGACAAGTGATACAGTCATATAACTTGGCAATCAACTTTGTAATTTTAAAATTAGTCAACTTCCTAGCCATAACAAGTATAGTAAGAAAGCTGGAATCAGCAGTTACCGGTGGTCATACAATAACAGGGTGGTCTTGTACTTTGTGTCAAGGTGACCTAAAATAGCAAGCAAGTTACAGAAGCGAAAACAAGCAGCCAGATGTAGAATGTCTGAGATTAGCACATTCCCCTGGTTTGTGATTGAGCTACTTCTTAGAACTCAAGGCTGTTGTCTCTTTTTAAATATTTCCCATAAGTGAAAAAAGGTTACTGTTAAAATAGCTATTCTGAGCAAGATGGAGCAACTTAGGTCAAGTTAACTTAGGTTAACTTAGGTTAAGTTCACCTAGCAGGGTCATTTTACATCCCCTCTCATATGCAAATTAGAAAAACACATCTTTGTACATTCATTCTTAATACCTAGCTATTCTGTCCACGCCTGGGAAAAGACATCTTGTTAGGCAGTACTGTTATCAGTACAAAAGGCTGAGCTTACTGCCTTTAACTGTGCCCTTCAGCTAGGTTATAAAAGTTAATAAATAGCTGTATTAATTTAGTGGTATGCTTTCCATATGATTCATGCCCATACCACCATTTGGAAGTTAATTATTTCTTTCTTTTTTTTTTTTTCTTGGTCTTTTTGAGACAGGGTCTCCCTATAGCCCCGGCTGTCCTGGAACTCCCTATGTAGACCAGGCTGGCCTTGAACTCACAGAGATCCACCTGCCTCTGCCTCCCAAGTGCTGAGACTAAAGGCATGCGCCACCACGCCCAGCTTAATTCTTTATTTTTTTAAAAAAAGACATTTATTTTTATTTTATGTGTATGAGTATTTTCCTACATGTATGTAAGTGCAGCACATGCATGCAGTGCCCACAGAGGCCAGAAGAGGGCATTAGAGTCCCTGTAACTGAAGTTACTAACAGTTATTAGCTGTCATTTGGGTGCTGGGAACCAAACTTGGGTCCTCCAGAAGAGCAGTAAGTGCTCTTAACAACTGAGCAATTTCTCCAGCCCAAGTCTTCTTGGGTTGAAACTTAAGTAGGCTGGGAAACTTGAACTGGTAGAGGAGCCAGCTTACGCATTCAATGAAGGTATTCATAAAGATGAATAAGTAAATAGTCCCTCATATCAGGGCAGTGGGGGAAGGAAGTCTAGGTGATTTGAATCCCAATTCCTCGAACTCATGTACTTATAAAGCCAACTCTTGTTTGGAGTCCTCTCCTGTGTTCTCATCATGTTTTCATATTGTTCTTCAAAATCTGCCATCATATTTACTTTTAACACTCAAGAGACAACCAGTTCTATTTCTCCAGGGTGATCTCATAGTTTCCCACGGAATGAGAAAATACAGTCTCTGAAGCTTCCTTAAAATACCATCAACTTTCTCCCCACAGTATAAATGGGTCCGAGTCCTGGTTGGGTCTCAACTTGATGATTTTCCTATTAGCACAAACAGGCATACCTATCTTCTTTCCTCAATTCACTATACTCTGTGGAATAAACATGTACTTTTGACTTCCTGACAAGTGGGCCAGCACCTGCACCTTGGCTTATATTATACTAGATATCCAAATTGTTCCTGCCAATCAGTCACTCCAAATCCCTCTATTTGGTTCACCTCTATTTGCTCACCTAAATGAGCACTGAGTTAATCCCTATATTCATGAGACTGGGCATTACAGTGGTGCGGGGGGTATGGGGACAGTCAATTTCAGCCTAGCATCCTGTGCCCATCATACCATTTCCCCTGAACTAGCAGGAGGTCTTGACTGCATTTCAAATTCCTCAGGCCCCAGAAGACCAAGTTGATTCACAGTCTTCTAAAACATCTGTGGTCTTGATTTACTAATAGCTGCCTCCTTGGTTCTAGAGAAGGAATACTATATGCAAATAAGTCAGGGATAGATTGGGTCACGTTTGTTGTTGTTGTTGTTGTTTAAAAAAAAAAAAAGACCCAGGAGACTCAGAGGCTGACTGCCTTGTGGAGAAACTTATGGACGGCTCTCCTAGACACTCTTTTCTGAAACCACTCATTGTCATCTGCCTGATCCCTGTATTTGGTACCTGCATTTTTAACCAACTTGTCAAGTTTGTTATCTCTAGGATCCAAAAATTCTAGGTCCTAATGACGCTTCAGCATGGATTCCAGCCAATAACATCAGACAATCTATTGCCCACAGGCCCTTTAGAACAGTCCAGTAGGCATATGTACACTAGGCAACTGTCCCTTCCTGATTGCACCCACGGTACCCTGGCAGACCAGCTCCAGTAGGTAGGGACAGTGACTATACAACACCATTCAGCCCTAAGAAGAGACCTTTAACCCAAACATTGGCCTTGCTGCTCTGCTGGGAAGGAATGTGGGGAACACGCAATTGGAGGCACTATGGGAGTCACCTGGCTGAGTGCGGCCAGAGCTGGAGATTTTCCTGGCCACAAACAGCACTCAATGCGTTCCTGTGTCAAGGTCTGCTGAACTATTACTGTCATGACCAGTTGAACAGCCTTTGGAGGATCCCATGTTACCACTTAAAAAACAACCAAAATCAACCACTTCCTCATAACAAAATGACTATCTTGTAAACTCAGTTCCTACCCTGAGTCAAACATTGACCAATAAGAACTGCCATGCTTAGTCTTTTATTTGCACAGCAAGAACCTGGAGGGAACCAAACAGTCCATCATCGTCTACCAGGCAGGTCTTCGGCTCCTCTGGCTGCTGCTCTGCCAGTGCAATGTGCTCAACAGGCTTGTCTTGTTCAGCTCTGATCTGACTTAGAGGAATTCTTTCATGTCCTCACCTGCAGCCCACCACAGTAATATTAAGCCATGCAGTCTGCTATATGTATTTCTTCACAACTAATCTACATGATAATTTGTAGGTATAGGTATACACAGGTGTGTGCTTCCCACATTTCCTAGAAGCTTTTTCCTCTAGGGTAAACAGTTAGTGTTACCAGAAATCTGACACCTGCTGCACGAAATACTGCCAGTCTTGGGAATGGGAACAATTACACTAGCCAACGACAAAGACAGGATGATATTCACATCTTCTACCTACATTTACATTTTAGTTTATTCTTCTGGTTTTCTTTTTTTCTTTCTTTTCAAATTTGTTTTAATTGAATTTTTGTGTATTTCATACAGAACATCTCAATCAATCTTAATCATCTTTATATTCCTGTCCCCTCAGTTTATTCTCTACCTCACCTTAAAAATCAAACTGAGGGCCAGAAAAATAGCTCAGTGGTTAAGAGAACATATTGCTCTTCCAGAGGACCAGAGTTCAGTTCCCAACAAACACATTATGCAGTTCATAACCACCTATAACTACAGCTCCCTGGGTATCTGATCCCTCTGGCTTCTGGGGACACTTGGCACTCATATACACATACCCACACAAAGATACACAGGGACACAGTTAAAAATAAGGGGCTAGGGGACTGGAGAGATGGCTCAGTGGTAAAGAGTACTGACTGCTCTTGCAGAGGACCCAGGGTTCAATTCCCAGCACTCACATGACAAATGTCAATAACTCCAGTTCCAGGAGACTCTAATACCCTCTCCTGACCTCTGTGGGCATTGCACCATGTGGGTGCACTTACATACATGCAGACAATACACTCACACACATAAAATAAAAATGATAAATTTTTTAAAGTAAAAATAAATAAGGGACTGGAGAGATGACTCAGTGGTTAAGACTACTGGCTGCTCTTGCAGAAGACCCAGGTTCAATTCCCAGCACCCACATGGCAGCTAACAACCATCTGTAACTCCAGTTCCAGGGGATTTGATGCCCTCATCAGAGCTCAGCTGGCATTACACAACAGGGTTGCACTTACCTACATGCAGGCAATATACTCATACACATAAAATAATAATAAATAAAATATTTTTAAAAAATAAAAATAAGAATAAATCTTTTAAAAACATTTTATTTCTTTATTTCTTAAGAACAGCCAGGGTTCTTAACTGCTAAGCCATCCCTTCAGTCTTAAAAGAGAATTTTTTTAAAAACTGAAGAACCTCCTCTTCCTCTAAAGGAGGCCACTAAATTTTTTTAAGTATAATCCATTAGGAGCAACACTGAATCGCTGTCACTATACTAAATCATCTGTAAGTGCAAATTCATTCTTGATGAGGCCTTGGTTTGGGGCCTTACACTGCGTACAGTGCCCTGCACAGCTACACAAGTGACAAGAAGCCTCAGAGCTGCTTTTGAATCATGACGATGCATTGGTCTGCTTCCCAGGGTGGAAAGATCTATATGCCCATCTGCATTCTTCTTTTCCCTTCCAGGTGGGCAGCATGCTGAAGACTCCCAGATTTCCTGTTTGGCTGTGCAACATCAATGGAAATTACAGCATCCTTTTTTGCACAAACAGGCAGCTCTTATCAGACTGGAAGATGGAGCGTCTCTTTGATCTACACTTTCATAGTGGCCAGCCCTCACAGAAAAGGCCTGTACATCTTACTGTGGGTGAGCATTTCAGACTGCCAGGTGTGGGCTTTGGTGCACTCAGAGCTGTGGCTACTGTGGTTTACAGCTCTATGCTATCTTTGCAGGAAATGCTTGGACATAGTTTACGAAATTAAGTCCCTGCATGGTTCCAAATCCATTGTAATTACGGGGATCCCTTTTAAAGGATGCATGAGCAAACACATGCGTGTGTGGGTGTGCGTTAGAAGTAACACAGAGAAACAAACAACTTTAGGTAAGAGAATAAAACAAAGATTAAAGAGTCAAATTTCCAAAAATCCCTCTCCAAGACTGTATCTGAGCATGAGGAACCCAAGACCTCAGGAAAGACCTGCAAAAGCAAAGGAGAGACAGAGCTCCAACTGGCCAGTTCTGTGCACACGTAAATACAGATGATCATCCAGTGGCATAAACAGCTGAAGCAAGAGTACCTTTCTGTTCAAATGAATCAAAAAGGAATTTCTGAGGGCATTCTATAAGCTAGATGCGGGGCTGCATACAAGGAAACCTACCATAAATAAGGCCCAGTCCCAACAAACTTTTAGCATGTCTGGTCCACAGGAGAAGCAGGCAGACAGATGGACAGGTCATTTTTGTCTCAATTACCCAGTTTCTTAAATCTATGAGGAAAAATGACCAACCATAAGATTTCTTCGAGTACTGGCCCTTTTAACAAGATGTTAACAGTAAACAGACTGGACTTTCTATCCAGCAACCATGGCTCCATTAGTGTGCCTGGCCAATATCTGACATCGCATTTAGCATCATAAACTTGGTATTAAGCAACTTTCTGTTGTTATCACTGCATTTGGAACAGGACCTTAGAGACCATTTCTCTGTGAGGCTCCTATATTTTTTCTTTAGTTATGAGAAACACATATTAGCCCTTTTAATTTAGTGTGACATCAACAAGTCCCTTGAAGTACACTACTGTTTCTACTTCAACTTCCTTCTTTGAGGGGAACATCATTTTCTATCAGCTTACAAGCACCCCACACATTCTGTTCTGAGCTTTGTGCTGAAAGCTTATGTAACACCAGCCCATTAAATTCCCAATAGCCATGTGAAGTAGGTACTATGATATCTATTTTTGTTGTGTAGCTGCTATATTTAGTTGTTAAATGAATCCATGAAGTATAGCAATGGTATTTCAAGTACCTTCTCAAATGTCACCTGGCCCAGGTGAGACAAACCTAGCCCTCGAAGCAAGTTCTAGATTCCTTTACTAGCATCTACCCCAGAAAAAACATGTATTCTTAGAAGTCTTTAAAAGGTATGAGCTTGGGCTAGAGAGATGGCTCAGTGGTAAAGACCAGGTACTGCTCTTCCAGAGGACCTGAGTTTAGTTCCCAACACCATATCAGGTGACTCATGATTTACCTCCTGTAATTCCTGCTGCAGAGGAATTCAGGGCCTCTGACTTACACACATACACACACACACACACACACAATTAAAAATAAATATTTTTAGGGGCTGGAGAGATGGCTTAGTGGTTAAGAGCACTGATTGCTCTTGCAGAGGACCCCTTTCCTACTTCTAAAATTGTCATCACAGAATGAGTACTAGATATGGTTTTAAAAGGAGGCAGTGGGGGCTGGAGAGATGACTCAACAGTTAAGAGTACTGGCAGCTCTTGCAGAGGACCCAGGTTCAGATCCCAGTACCCACATGGCAGCTAATAACTGTCCATAAGTCCAGTTCCAGGGAATTTGATGCCCTCTTCTGATGTCCACTGTATAACACTGGTGTACTTACATGCATGCAGGCAATGCACTCATACACATAAAATAAAAATAATGTATAAAATATTTTTAAAAAATAAATTTTTTAAAGGGATGAACTTTCCCTTTATTTAAAAGGATGAAGGCACCTGCTTTTTTCTGGTGACATCAGTGAACAATACCTGATCCTATGTGTCACATTATGTTACATTACATGAATGAATAATTACCTCCCAACACATAGCAAGCCAGGCTATGACTCAGTTGCTTTGTATGGGCATTTCAGTGTACACTCTGCTAGAGTCTCCCTCTGCTTAGCCATTTCTAGGACCATAGCTTACTGAGCCCAGCTCCTGTGCACCTGCTCTCTTCTCCTCTTGTGCTGGAGCCCCTGGGAAGGACCCAATGGGCCTGGATGTTGATGTTGCTGTTCCTTCCTCAGATACTCACTCCCATCACTGGGAAGGAGACCACCATGAAGATAAACATGGACCAGGACGACAGTTTTCTCCGGTGGAGATGGCAATCAGAACCAAGTGGAGAGATGCTACCGTCAAATGGAATGGGACTGTTCCCTTTTTCTAAAGAGAACACTAGAAAGTAGTCTGAAGTATCAGAACAAACGCCGTACGAAGGGCGTAGTGCCGGGGCGGCCGTTTAGTTCCTACATTCCTCTCTTGAGACCCCCTGAAAACCGCCACTAGCAGCTTTCTCGTTTTTTCCCTCTGCTTTCCTTTGCAGTTGTTGTCGGTGCTGTAGGAAACGCAGCTCCTTATCCTGGGTTTGCCAAGTGGTCCCTTCATTTGAATCAAAAGAGAAAATGAGGTCTCACCTCTGCGCGTTTCCCAATTGGTCTCTTCTTTGTTTGATTTTGGTTGGTTGGCTGGTTGATTGGTTTGGTTCCTGTCTTTTTGGAGACAGGGTCTCTCCCTGTAGCCCCAACCAGCCTAGAACTCACTATGTAGAGCAGGCTGGCCTTGATCTTACAGAGATCCACCTGCCTCTGCCTCCTGAGTGCTGGGGTTAAAGGTATGCGCTGCCACACCTGGCAAATTGATCTCTTCTTAGTATGAGGCTCCGTGAGCACTGAAGCTGGGAGCTCACTTCTATTTGGGGATGAAGTCATCTGGAATGCAGCATCAACTTTTAGTAACGACAAGAGCCCAAGCTTTCTAGATCCTTTCCAAGAACACATGTGTCCACATTAGCTAGCTCTCAGTAAAGTAGCAAATGGGCTTCCTCCGGCTTGGAGCTGGGACTATTGCTAGTACGCTGGCAGCTTGGGGCAGGTGGGCTGGCAGCTGGGGCAGATGGCCGGGGGACTCCAGCAGTCATCAGGCAGGAGGAGACATCCTTCCCACCCATTTTATATCTGTTTCTTTTTTCCCACACTAGATATAAATAATATCAATAAACATAAACAGACAGAAGTCCTATTCTTACATATAATAAAATTCTATATAAAAAATAAAATCTCATGTCAGTATTCAAAGAAGAAAACAATTCTTTTAAGAATGTGATCTCTCTCTCTCTTCTGCTAAATGCCTACACATTTTCTGAAGGGATACACAGACTAGACACATATTATTTCTAAAAAGATGCACATTAGAAGCATCTAGACTTTTTCTGCCCTCATACCCAATCTGCCCACTCACAGACTTAGAGTTTTGGATGTGGAAACTAAGGGTCAGTTTCCAAGGAACAGCTTTTCTGCACCCAGTGTCCACATTAATTTATTAAATGAATTTTTATTTGGCCCAAGAATAATGTTATACCTTAAGAATACAGAAAATGAAACTTCAAGGTGAGTAATAAATTATGTCAAAAGAGGAAGCCAATTTGGCTTGGATTGCTGATTATGGCATCTTTATCCAATGATACAGATGTTTCCATTTAGAATTTTAAATAAATCAGGCACACGAGTGGAGCTCCACAGACCCTGTCTTATTTGGTCTTAGCCTTCCTGTGTTTTTTTTGTGAGGCATGGGTCTATTTTTGTTTTAGGAACACTGACTTACCTCTCACTAAATAGCTCTTTAAGAGCCAACTGCTGGAAAGCTTGAAGCCAAATTAGAAACTATGCTAAGTGTATCTGTCAGCTCCAAGGGTCTCACTAAGTCTCAGGCAGCCAGGACACTGCTTTCGCACAAATTGTTGAGCCCCTGGTCCGTGAAGAATCCGTGACTGTCTTAGATCAGCTGTGGTTCACCCTCTAGGACTGAGCGCAGGTACACTTGATAGTCAAACAAAATCAGGATTCTGCAAAGGGAGGAAGCGCAGAGCGACTGCTCATAAGTCTTGCCCAGCAGCTACTGATCCTTAGGCATCTTGAAACTGGCCTAATTCTTCTATTCATTTTTCCTTCCTACTCCTTTGAAGTTTTAATTTGTCTAGAGTTTGTGTTAGCTTACCATACTTCACACGTTATAATCTATGTTAAATTATTCCTGGATCAAAAGTCTATTAATAAATAAAATAATTCAGGAAAGATTAAGTACCTAAATTTTATGTGCAAAGGTATAATAGTGGTGATGCATAAAGGTATTCCTCACTTTCTATATTAATGTTCTATGAAAAAGAATTTTTACTTTGTCCTGTAAACAGAGCATCCAATCATATTTGAATTTATTTTTAAGGTGTAGGTATGTTTTTTGGACGTAGCTGAAAATTTCCTGGGGCTATCAGTTTACCTTTGGACTTCTTCTGTTTCGAGAAAAATGGCTTTTATTTTCCATTTTAGCTCCTCAAACAGGAGAAAGCTATTTATATAAAGATGGATGGATTAATTTTTCTGAATCATGACCTAAACTGACTATCATTAAGGGCATTGAAGAGATGGAGAATATTTCCTTTTCTAAATATCAACCTAGACTGGTTACATGCCTCAAAATAATTGTTTGCTATTATAGGAGAAAGATGGAACTTTTTTTTTGTTTGTTTGTTTTCTTCAAGCATCTGCTTACTGATGTCACAGACCAGGTAGGACCAGGCTAGGAGCAAGTAGGCTTATGTTCCCCATACCTCACCCTGCAGAAATAGCAAACACCAACAGGCTAGGACTGGTATTGCATTATCCAGATGACATGGAATCCTCAGTCAACTGAGATGTGAATTTGCTTACACATGAGTAACAAACAATAGACATACACTATTCACTGTCATAACTGCCCTTGTAGGGCCTTTGAGACACCGTCATCCAGTCATCATTCATTCATTCATTCACTCAACTCTTTTATCTGAGAACAACAAAAGAGGGAATTATTTCTTTTGGCTCACTGCTTCAGAGGTATCAATCTATCACGGCAGAGTGGAGCAGAGCAGCTCATATCAGGGTGGACAGGAAGCAGAGACAGGGTCATAGGAAGGGGCCAGGGCAACATATATCTTCAAGAACACACCCTCAGTGACTGACTTCTTCCTAGATCCTACCTCCTAAAATTTCCAAAATCTTTCCAAATAGCCCAACCAGCTGGGGACCAAGTGTGTATGGGCCTATGAAAGCCATTTCCTAGTCAAACCACAGCCACTCCCTATGTGCCTGGCACTAAGCTGGATGCTCATGAAACACAGTGAGCAAAATCAGGCAAGCCTGTCATGGGACCTGGCCTTTTCTGAGAGGTGGCATGAGTCAAAAATCCACCATAGTGATTATAAACTTGACAACTGAGGTTAGTGTTCAGAGGGGAGAGATTTTTGATGTGTCAATGTTACAGTCAAGGAAGAGAAGTTTGGGAAAAGGCATTTCTGAGAAAGAGACAGCTGGACTGAGGTAGCAAGACTGAGCAGAGGTAAGTGGGTGGGTGGAGGAGGGACAGTGAGAGTGAAGCTTGGTGGTGGGTGTGCCAGGGGCACAGAGAAGCCAGCAGAGCTGACGTACAGCCCTCCAAGAGGAGAGTAAGTGAGAGACAGCAGAACAGGCAGGCGAGGGCCCACCACAAGGCATTCTACAACAGGGGGCACAAACATCCTGAAGGATTTTAAGAGGCCTTGCAGGATTTACATTTTGAACAAATGCCCCAGTGTGGAACCAGACTGGCAAGAGCTCAGAGTGCACGTAGAGACTAGGTGGATGGCCAGCAGGGCAGTGTAGGTGACGGCAAGCAGAACGGAGTGATAACAGTTACAGGACACTGAACTAGGCCCCTTGGGGACAGCACTCAGTGGGTCAGAAAGCAGGCTGAGGCACACTGTACAGGGAGGAAGTCGTCATGGCTTCCAAGTTTCTGGTTTGATGCTCGGTGCAAGGTTGTACCCTCACTGAAGAGAGAAAGAAGGAGGGAGGGAAGAGGGAAGGGAAGATCTCTCCACCTGCTAGAGTTGTTTTGGACCTGATAAGACCTAGACTAATACCAGGACATAGTGAAGTAGTAGGAAACTGCACCCACGCTGTCAGAAATCCGAAGGGCCTCTCATGGGAGACATATGGGAGTTTCCTGCATGGTCATAACATTGTGCTTAAATTGAAATGTTAAATATTTTGGCCTGGTGTCCTTTGTGCTTTGGGGATTTAACAAAGAAGTCTATTCCACATCCGGGAAAGAGTTCCTCAACACCTGAAGATGCCAGGCTGAGCAACAGAGCAGGAATGACCAGCTAAAGGACATGTGTGAGGGACACATGGTACTAGTGAGAAAGCATGACAGAAAACAAAGACAGACTCAAGATGAGGGCGGAAAAAAAGCAGACTGGACTCAAGATGAGGGCGGAAAGGCCCAGCCACAAGGATGCACTTCTAGGTGGGTCTGGAAGCTAAGTAAAGAATTCAGATAGTTCTGTTTCCACTGGGCTTGTTATTTACACAAAAGTGTTTATGGGCCTGGGATGTAGAACAATCTGCTTAATGTGAACAAGACCTGTGGTTCAATCCCCAGAGCTGAAGAAAAACAACCTGGTCTCATGAAAATAAATGAAAAATAGATTACAGAAACATCTTGGCATAAAAACCAAAAGCTTTATTAGTGATTGCCAGGAATGATCTAATTAAAAGGTATTTTTCATCAGTGACTATGTTAAAATCAGAGAGGACCAAGTTTGAATGAATTCAAGCAGTTGTTTTCAGGGTATACAAATTTCACCCTATTAATTTACCGACTTTTTTATGTGAGATGGGGCTCTCACAGATCCCAGGCTGGCCTTGAACTCTCTATGTTGCTGAAAATGACCTTAAATTTCTATTCCTTCTGTCTTTTCCTCCTGAGTGCAGGTATGCATTACCATGTCTAGTTTATATGGGGCTGGGAACCTAACCCAGGGCTTCCTGCATGGTAGGGGGACACTGTACCAACTAAGCTACACTCCCAGTCCCACAGTTTAACCATATTTAATATATTCATCTCATATCCCTTCCAAGAAAGACTTGGGTGCCTGACAAATGCCAAACTTCTGGAGAACTTTGTATCATTTTCTTATGCCCCAATGGCTGAACCAAACAGCAAAAACGTCTTCACTATTATCCACAAGGTGGTGCTGTGAGAGTGACATTTTCAATCGCTTACCAAATATAATTATAACCAAGTCAATGTGAGCAACTTACCACTCACAGTCTGCAAAATGTATAAAGTAGTGATGCTCTGCGCTGGGCTCAC